CTGCAATTAGTATGCTATCTCCCAAAGGCGTCAACTTTGAAGGTAACAGAACTCCCAATCTTGCGATTCTTGAACTAATTGTGTGTTAAATTTTCAATTTTTTTTTATTTTCAAATTGAAATTAAAAAAAAAAAAGAAAGAAAAGGGTTCTTAAAAACCCCATTTTTGGGTTTGCAGTGCAAGCTTTGATGGGAATAAAAGCTGCTTTGGAGGATCCTCATGGTGTTCTTGATAACTGGGATGGGACTGCTGTTGATCCTTGTAGTTGGAACATGGTCACCTGCTCCGATGAAGGTCTGGTTATTGGACTGTAAGTTCATCTTCCCCAAAGAAAAAAACAAAATCCCCTTTCTTTAATGCCATGTTTGTTTCATGTTTTTCCAGGTTTTTTTATAAAATTCATAACCATGTTCATTTAAGAGTGCTCTCATGATTGGCTAAATAGGAATGATTCCTTTACATAATCTAACTCTGGTAAGAGATTTGTATCTGTAGGGGAATTCCAAGCCAGTGTTTGTCTGGTACTCTTTCTCCAACCATTGGAAACTTGACAAACATTAAGTTGATGTAAGTGCTCCCAGTTACATTTGAGTACCCTGCGTATTAATCCAATACAGTGTTCTTTAAAAAAAGGGGTGTTGATACATTTATAGTATCTGGTTGACAGAGATTTGCAAAACAACAACATAACAGGAGCAATTCCAGTACAGATTGGCCGTCTCTCAAATCTTAACACGCTTGATCTTTCCAATAATACCCTCACTGGCGAAATCCCGCCTTTGGGACGGTTGAAAGGCCTGCATTACTTGTAAGAATGTATTTCTGTTAAGAAATCAGCTCTACCAAAAGCTCAAGCGCTGAACGCCCAAAAAGTGTTTTATAATCTAACACCTTTTGGGATTCTATCACAATGTTTGGATGGGTTTTTTTCTTTTTCAAGAACTTTAACTGAATGCTTATTTATTGAAATTGTCGATGGGATCAGGAGGCTAAACAACAACAGTTTGTCTGGAAGAATCCCCGTGTCGTTGTCTAACATGACTCAACTTTCTATAGTGTAAGAACCACAACCACTTTTGTCCATTTAATCTTAACAGCCTTTCGTACCAAATTCATGAATCTATTATTTTTCTAATGAAGGGATTTATCAAACAATAACTTGAGTGGACCTGTGCCAAGAATTCCTTCCAAGACATTCAAGTGAGTGAACAGTCTTTTAACTAAACAAGCGATTCGTTTCTCATTTCCATTGAAATTTCATACTATCCTTTCATTTTTTCTCTTTATTTGCAGCATTGTTGGAAATCCTCTGATATGCGGCACGCGGTCTGAACCATACTGCCATCGTACATTGAACACTTCTAGAAGTAAATGGTTTCATCATCTTCTTGAATTTCAGTTAATGTGTCCTGAAACCAACCTGATCACTTGTTCTATATCAATTCTTCCCAGCTGTTCACCCATCTGTTAAAAGGAAAAGTCACAAACTTGCATCATCTGTGTTGGGTTCTATCCTGGGATGTATATGCGCGCTCTTCCTAGGAATAGGACTTCTCCGCTGGTCAAGGAAAAGGCAAGCTCAACGAATGCTCTATGGTGAAGAAAACCCGGTCGGGAATATAAGAAGATTTCGGCTGAAAGAGCTTCAACTTGCCACCAACAACTTCAGCAGCAAAAACATCTTGGGAAAAGGTGGGTATGGAGTTGTTTACCGAGGCGAGCTAAGGGACGGGACCACAGTGGCCGTGAAGAGGCTGCATGATGGGAATGCTTCTGGAGGTGAGAAACAGTTGCAGACAGAGATTGAGACAATCAGTTTGGTTGTCCACCGCAATCTTCTTAGGCTGTTGGGCTTCTGTATGACCCCAACAGAAAAGCTTCTGGTTTACCCTTACATGTCCAATGGCAGTGTGGCTTCCCGTCTCAGAGGTACTAAAATATATTAGCTGCCCAACATACCCTCTTGCAACTTATCAAACGGTTCCTTAATATGTTTGTTGTACTTGTGAGACAGTGAAGCCAGTTTTGGAGTGGGAGAGAAGGAAGAGAATCGCCATAGGGGCAGGAAGGGGACTTCTGTACCTCCATGAGCAGTGTGATCCGAAGATAATCCATAGGGATGTGAAGGCTGCAAATGTATTGCTGGATGAGTACTGTGAGGCAGTCGTTGGGGATTTTGGGCTGGCAAAGCTTTTGGACCACACAGACTCGCATGTCACTACGGCTGTACGTGGGACCGTGGGACATATTGCCCCTGAGTATCTATCCACGGGGCAGTCCTCTGAGAAGACAGATGTCTTTGGGTTTGGGATCCTTCTTCTTGAGCTCATCACAGGGCTTAGAGCTATGGAATATTGCAAAGCGGCTCATCATGGCGGTGCCTTGCTTGATTGGGTGAGTGACTTGTTGTGCCGGTTTCTCAAGAAACCAATTCAACCACAAGCTCAAGCTTATGGTTGTATGCCCAAAAAATGCTTTTATACCTTAGTATGCATTGGTTTTTAAAAGTAGGTGACGGTAATGTTTTAAACACTTCGTGTTTAGAACAATTTATTACACATCTAACTCCATTAGTGTGAGGTTTTTGAGATGTGCCCAAAAACAATTCTATGAGGGGTTGACTTAGAGCAGACAATATTATACTAATGCAGAGATAGGGTGATGATAGATATTCCCTACACTAGCAACCTGATGTTGCTAAATCCATTGTATTATCACCATAAGTTGTTTTTATCAATACCGGCTCTAGTTGAAGCACCTACGGTGCTCTGTTTGTAAAATTGATGATTCCTGTCCCCCAAATTGCCAAAGTCCAAAACATTTTGGGGATTAAATTTAACGGGTCCAGTGTTGGTTCGGGCCGGGCCCGAGTGGGGGTTTTACGAACAGAACACCGTAGGTGCCCCAAAACTTCAGTGGCACCATATTGTCAACAGAGCCCATATGTGTTTTTTATTGGGTCTTTTTAATTTGTTGTGCATTTCCACCAGATCAAGAAAATCCACCAAGAGAAGCAGCACCTGAATGCACTAGTAGATAAAGGCTTGGGAAACAAATACAACGAGATCGAGGTGGACGAGATGGTTCGGGTGGCTCTACTCTGCACCCAATACGTTCCCGGGCTCAGGCCTAAAATGTCCGAAGTGGTTCGAATGCTGGAAGGGGATGGAGTTGCAGAGTGCTGGGAAGCGTCCCAGAAGATAGAACCCAATGTGTACAAAAGACAACCCATTGCATCTTCGTCTTCCTCATCTGAGAGATTCTCAGATCAAACCATTGGTTCGTCTTCTCTTCCATATGCCATGGAGCTGTCTGGTCCAAGGTAGTAGTGGAGCATATAATATTGATATATGTATACTCGTAGATATGTTTGTACCATAAAAATGGAGAGTTTTTTTTCAAAGGCTTTTTGGACATTGAGAGCTGTCTTAAAACATCCCAAAAATATGCCTGTTTTTTGGTTTCGTTTTTATACAATTGAGTTCAACCTTTTTTTTTTTGCGTAGAGTTATTTCTTCCATAAAAAAAGTGGAATATAACTAGAAGGGGTTGGGGAAAAACAAATTTCTTCAGGTAGTGTTTGGCAACTAGCATTTCATTTCAATTCATGCATTTCAATTCCAAAATTTGAAATTCAGAATTTCAAATGACAAGGGGAGGTGCATGGATTTCAAATTAAGCTTTGTTTTGAATATAAAGAATTTGATTCAAATCCAAATTTAAAATGCTTAAGTTTCCCAAACATGGAATTTAGGCCAAATCCGGATTTGAAATCCAAATCCATGTTCCCAAACATACCATCATTTCATTNAATTTCTTCAGGTAGTGTTTGGCAACTAGCATTTCATTTCAATTCATGCATTTCAATTCCAAAATTTGAAATTCAGAATTTCAAATGACAAGGGGAGGTGCATGGATTTCAAATTAAGCTTTGTTTTGAATATAAAGAATTTGATTCAAATCCAAATTTAAAATGCTTAAGTTTCCCAAACATGGAATTTAGGCCAAATCCGGATTTGAAATCCAAATCCATGTTCCCAAACATACCATCATTTCATTTTAGTTTGCTCGTCGAACAACATCACCCTAAGCATTGCTCCCATTTTGAGGAAGACGAACAAAACTGTGCAAAGCACGTGTTATAATGGCAAAATGAATTTGTTGTAGTTTGTAATACTTTCTTTTGAGATTTCCGATGGCGCGATATTTTTCCGTGCTATCTTTGAGGTTCGAAATGTTCATTCAATTGCGATTTCAAAGAGAGTGACCCTCTAATGGTACTCAAAATCTATCTCGAGAGCCGAGGGAATATTTTTTAAAAACAAATTGTTTGGAATCGATGATATCCCCAATTGATTGATGTTTATTGAATGAGCATAAAGGGACTACTCCTTAGTTCACATTGTAACTCTCTCCGCAAACTAACAATTAGGTTGTTTGGTGAGTTCTAGAGATATGATAAGTTATGTAATACTTCTATGAAATTTGGAAGAAACGATGTATGTTTTGAAATTTAAAATGAATTTGTTTGAAAAGATTTAAAATTATGATTTAATTAGTGATAAGAGGGAGTGACCGACAATGAGGGTGGTTGGCGGTGACAATGGTAGTCAGCGACGGAGAATGACCATTGGTTGAGAGGGATATTAAACCTCCATATTGATATTTCTGAAATTCGAGAGATATCGAAACCCTTCGTTTGAAAGATTTATGATATCTGGAGATATCGAATTTGATATCTCTTTGGCTTCACCAAACACCAAAAAAGAATTTTTATATTTGGAGATATCAAAACTTATATCTTGTTTGCTCACCGAACAGCCTTTTAAGCCCATTTCTAATTCCTTTATGGCATGTTTGAGAACTTGAATTTGGATTTGAAATTCAGATTTGATACAAATACCTTATTTGGCAACTTAAAGAATTTGGATTTGAATTTCATTCAAATTCCTCTCATAAATAACCAAACTCAATTACAAATTCATATCCAAACAGATTGACATTTGAATTCCCTGGCCCGTCTACACATTCACTCCTCTCTCGTCCATCGCCGATGCCCGATAGCTCTCGTCCATCGCCTCTCTCCAGTTTGTGCGTCTTTCAATTCATCTCTTTCCATTGAGAGTATCCGAGCGGCTAGGTCTGAATCGCTTCCGCCGCCTCCTTCTTCCCTAGCTAAAACCTCCGATCCAGGTATATCTAGAAACCATTTTTAACCCTAGCTATGGTTTCCTTAAAGTCCAAGGTTGAGGATGATGAATGAATGAATGTGCTTCGATTTTTGTTCTATTTTTTTCCGATTCAAAAATTTTTTTGATTTGTGGGTTAGTGCTTTGGAAATTGGCAGCTTGTTACATGTTGGCCTTAGCAAGTTTTCTCTCTTTTAAGCCATACTTTCATACCACTGGTGTGTGTTTGTGACAAGCAAAGACTACTAAATTCTATTTTTCATGTTTTTATTTCAATCTTATTTATGTTTTTATTTCAATCTTATTTTGAGTTCTTATTGATAGTTATACTACTTACGTCCAATAAAAAGATTCTACATTATTTTTTCCGTTTGTCCTAAAAAAAGGGTTCTGGTTTCAACCTATTTGCGTCATATGAGTGTGCTTGTGTGCGCCCTTGCATCTGGAATTGTCGGTTACTTTGTTGAGTATGAATCTCGAAGAAATTCCCAAGTGCAATGGAGTTGATTGTGGAGTGTATGTGATGGCAGTGGCTAGATTTCTTTCTAACATGTTGCGTCATATTCAGTTCAATACCATTTTATTTTAGTTTAATTTTGCTATATTGAACAGGCTCTTAATCATTGTAATGTGTAACAATCCATTTTCAACCTTAATATAACTAATTTGTTTTAGATTTAGTTATATAAAGTTATGAATTTGAGTTTATTTGTATACTCTGTGTCCCTGTCCACCTAATGTGTTTGGTCTTTTACAGATTATTTCTTCCTCAACCCTGCTTATTCCATTAATTGGACTGTTCAACTTTCACAGAGTGACTGAGAATGGAGTGTGTAGTTCAGGGAATTATCGAGACACAAGTAATTGTTTTCTATCAGAATGCTGCTAAGATATTTCTTCTTCTATTTTTGGTCATTATTAAGTTTTTTTAAAAAGTTGCATGAATATATTTGAAATTGCATGATCTGAATTTTAAGTACGGGTAGATCTATTATTAGTTTCATGGGCTGGCTTGTAAGTTGTAACTGTAAACTTACCACTATCAATTGTTGGGTTTCGGAAACAGCCTTTTGTCTTTCTATTTTTCAAATTGGCTTTAGCTATTGGAGTTCCCGTCCATTGCCAGTGACGCTAAAAGAGTCATCATTAGTTATGTTTTAGTTTCAGGCACATAATGGACTACATCAAAATGACACGTTAAAATTCTCTTTATTCTTACTTTCTATGAAGTTTAGGGTAGTAAATGCTGCGATGCTTTTAGTTTCTAAAGGAAGCAACAACTCTGTTTTTGTTACTGTGTACATGTTGGTGATGTTGCCCCCTAGACCCCCAAATGGAGTTGGGATTATAGTGGGGTGTTATTGTTGTTGTCTTTAACTTCTAGAGTTCTGTGATTTTGGTGCTATTTATGATTGAGCATTATGTTGGAATATAAACTAATGGGCTAAGTGGATTTTGATCATGGAGATTAAAGAAATACACTAAAGTGGGAAAATAGGCCAACAAGCTACATGCCATTCATGTCTTTTATTGATTTCTAAGATAGCATGCTTCCTTTAATATAATATTTTCATATGCAGCATGTGGAGGCCCTTGAGATTCTTCTTCAAGGACTTTGTGGTGTTCATAAAGAAAGCTTGCGAATACATGAATTATGCCTCAAAAGCAAGTCAAATCTAGGTGACTAACATGTATTCTGTGTTAAAGAATGGGTTCAGTGACTTCAATCTGCCACTCTATAATTTTATCGGTTCAGCATTTCTGCACCATTGTATATTATTTCACATCTCCTAGCTTCTATCAGGGGTCAAACTGCATCTTCTTTCTTATCTTTTTTTCTTTAATATTCTTTTGTAAATTATTTCACATCTTCTTTTTAATAGAAATTTTGATGTAGCTTTTGAATACTGAGTTTGTAAATTTTACTTGTTTGTATTCAGTATTTTAGAAGTTGTTGAAAATATCTTGAATCTTTACCTCGTTGCACAAATTAGACACATAAAACAAAATGGATGGAGTAGTAAGTTTTTTTCTCGGATAATGGGTTATTCATGTTAACCTCTAGTGGGCATGCCCATAATCTGTTTAAAAACCATATTTTTCTCTGAAGCTTATAATTTTGTTTCCCGTCATAACAAAGCCTTGGCTTCTGTTAACCAATTTTAGTTTGTATTTCTCTCAGGGTTAGTGGGCTCAGAAATTCGTCTCATTTGTGATCTTGAGCAACCTGAACCGATGTGGTAAGACATGCAGTTCTCCTGTCTTGCTTTATTGCCAATCCTAAGGCTTTTTATTACTTCATATTATTTATTTTTAATCATTTTTCGTGATGGAAATGATTCTTTTTATGTGCTTTTACCTGAAAACATTGTTTTTACTAGACTGTTGTCAGTCAAACATTATATTATATGGAGTACATTTCATCAAAACAATCTCTAAGGAAAACAAACAAAGCCTAAATATGCATTTGAACCACCAATTCACAGGACCGTTAGACACGTGGGCGGGGCAATGAGAGGGTCTGGTGCGGAGCAAATCTCTGTTCTGGTTAGGACAGTGGCTGAAAGCAGAGTGAGCAAGAACGCGCTCAGAGTCTTTAATTCCCTGGGCTACATACTAGACCATGAGCTATTGAGAGTTGGCTTTGGGTTCCATTTCCAAAGAGGGGCACATATAACCGTGACCGTGTCGTCCATAAATAAGATGCTGAAACTGCATGCCACTGATGAGGCTGTCCCTGTAACACCCGGCATTCAGCTAGTTGAAGTGACAGCACCTGCTTCAGCTGAAAATTACTCAGACATTGCTGCTTCTGTATCTTCATTCTCCGAATATCTTGCACCGTAAGTGTCTCTCTCTTTTGTTTTCTCCTTTCCCATTACATTGGGGCTTTTCTGCGTTAACATCAAAGCTAGCTTTTGGCTTATTTGTCAGGCTCTTGCATTTGTCGAAACCGGGCAGTTCAACAGGGGTGGTTCCTACTGCTGCCGCGGCAGCGGCGTCTCTCATGTCAGATGGTGGAGGAACTAAGTTTTAGTGCATGCGGATAGGGTACGTTATCAAGGTTTGATCTAAAGAACCTTTTAGTGTGGCCCTTTTATTTCATGTATCTCTAGTTTACTTGGCAAATATATCTTGAGTTTCAATTTATTGTCAACTTTTTTACTTGTACACATTAAATGATTCCTCAAATTGCAGGGTTATGCAATGCTTGCCCTTCATATAATATCGGTGTTTGTGCATTGTTCTCATTTTGTAGTCACCCTTTTCGAAAGGAAAAAAAAGGTACACCATCCATTCAATTGGAAATTCTCATATTTGAGTTTTCTACCCAGAATACTCAAATCAAGTAAACTTTGGCTCATATGTTTTTAGTGGACATTAATGGAAGGTATGAATTTATGCTTTCGTGAAAGTTTAATAAATACTCCCTCCGTCCCAAAAAGATTTACACCTTTCAAAAAAATTGTGTCCCACAATCTCCTACCCATTTCTATTAAAAAACCACTTTTACCCCTTATTTTTTTCAAACCCTACCTATCACATCATACCTTTTTCCTAATAATTTATACATCACATCTTACTTTTACCCATCACATTAAGGGTATTTTTGGAAAGTCAACACAAAATTATCCCTCCCTTAATTTCTACTTTAGTCAAAATGGGTAACACTTTATGGGACGGAGGGAGTAACATTTTTTTTTAAATTTCTTCCATATTTTTGTGATACTTGAGCTAAAGGTCTCTTGGAAACAACTTCCTTACTTTAGAGTAGGGGCAGGTCTGCATAACACACCCTCTCTAGACCGTACTCTCTTGGGATTCAACGTAGTTGGGTCTTTTACGTTGTTGTAGATTACTATTTTTGTTTTAGTGTAGTTCAGTTTGACTTTTTTTAGTCTAATTAGACAAATTTTTAAGTTTTAATTACTCTGAATTTGTATCCACATTAATACAATGATATAAAATTTTGATAGTTCGTAATAAGATAAATCTAATAAATTTGGAAACGTCAAACCGGATAGAACGGTGGTTTATACGTGTAGTATATAGGAGGACTCGATGAGATGTGTGGCATTCTCAGGGCATGCCACGTATGCAACATACCTGCCAGGTGGCTCACATTGTACTCATCCATCCATATTATACTCCATGGTCCCCTTGCGTAGCTAGTATATATACAGTAATTATATATACACACAAAACAGAATTGTTTTGGCACAAGACAACAAATTGATCATTTATTTCATCAAAAAGAGGAACAAAAAAAGAGAGATGTCGGGTGCACAAGGAGCAGAGCCGAAGGGGTCGAGGACCGCAACCGAGTACGAGTCGGTTCCGGAAGAAGGGAACAAGACCCGGCTCGACATCCGGTCGCGGGACGACGAGCCGGGCATTCAAGTGGATAAGCTTCAGGACAAGGTTGAAGATGCCGCCGGGTTAGGCGGTCCCGTTTTCGGCGCCGGGAAGAATGACGACGACAAGCAGGATCTCGGCGTCACCGGCACCGCCTAATGCGTAGTAACGTCGACGTGTTTTTTTTTTAAAAATTAGTAGTTAATTAATAAGATGTATTGTTATTATTAGGAAGTATAATTAAATTAGGATACTTCTTTCCTTTCCTACTAGGATTATTCTTTCCTTTCCTACTTGTACTTTGATTACTTTTGTATTCCCTATATATAGGGCCATATCTCTCAATATTCAATAAGACAAGTTATTATCAAATTGTATCATGGTATCAGAGCTAAGGCTCTCAAAAACCTAGCCTCTTTTTTTTTCCGACAGCCGCCCACCATGGCAGCCCCGTCGGATCCTTTGGCGTCCTTACCCTCCGGAGTAAAACTTTTGCTTCGGAGTCTCCACAACTTAATCCCAGAAAAACTCACCGAAACAAATTATCCGGCATGTTCTCTCAATGTCCAGACAGCTCTTTCAGCTAATCTCCTCCTTGGATGGATTGATGGTCATGAAGCAGCCCCGGCGCCAACTATCTCCAAAAACGATAAAATCGTCTCTAATCCAGAGTATACCTCCTGGACCATCGTTGACACACAGATCCGCGTTTGCCTCCTAGCGGTCATCAGCCCCTCCGTTCACAAACATGCTCGCGGCTTCACCACATCTGCCCTCGCGGCTTCACCACATCTGCTGCCCTCTGGGATGCTTTGGCCGCACGGTACAACTCCGTGTCCACCGCTCATGTTTATCAGTTTCGGGACAAACTCCACACTCTTCGTAAAGGTACTAAAACTATGACACAATACCTTGATGATGTGGCAACTATTCTCTCGGATCTCGATGCCTTGAAAGAAGAGATCCCTGAACGTGATGTGGTGAATGCTGTTATTCGTGGTCTTCCCACCGAATACTCATCCTTTAAGCAAAACATTCACATGAACAATACCAATATTTCGTTAAATCAGCTTTCTGGATGGCTGATCTCTGAAGAAATAAACCTGGAAATGGAGAATAAACTCAGCCTCACCGAGTCTACCATCACCGAACCTCGCACAGCACTTCTCGCTACAAACGGTCGAGGTCGCGGTAGAGGAGGCTACCGCGGTCGACCGTCACCTGGACGTGGATACAACAGCGGACGTGGAGAAAGGAACAACGGTCGACCGTCCCAGGGAAACGGTCGACCGTCACGGGATCTGCCAACCTGCCAAAT